ACTCAGCAGAGATCTCTTTTTGTTAGTGAACTGGTTTGTTTTTTGTTTGTTTGCTTTTGTTTTATGTCTTTTTGTTTTGTTTTGTTTTTTGCCTTTGTTTGTTTATTTTTTTTTCTGGATCTTAGATGGGCTGAGCGCATATTCCAGAGGGGTCAGTGAAGCTGAAGCAAAGGGAGATGCCAGGTCTGTCATGGACTCTTGTTTGGGACATGCTTCTACCAGGCCAATAAGCTGGAAAAATACTGGCAAATTTCAGCATTGCTGATGACACCATCATCAGGTGGGATGCAGTTATTGTATATCAATGCATATTGAACCTGTGAGTTTTCCTCTCTATTTCAAAAGACCCTCCTGGCCAATCCATGTGGTTCTGTTTAGAGGACTGTTTGTAACATTCCTGGTGCTAGAACCAGAAGGACATCAACAGGCTCATGTTCTCAGAGAACACAGTCAAGTCAGTGCTCAGGCATCCATGAGTAATGTGGTTGCTTACAGCTCTCCACAGAATTCTGGGAAGCTCCTTCTTCTGCCAGTACTTACCATATCCATTATAATTACATTTTGGTTACATTTGGTTAGAAGCTCTTCAACAACAAATAGAAAAATATGAAAATGACTCATGTAAGCTGTGAACAACCAATTAAGAATGATATGTTTAAGTTCAGTAGGTCAGTTTTCAACTGGCAAATAAAAGCTATTTTTTTTCCAGTTTTATTGAGATGTAGTGGACAGACAGCACTAAGTTCAAGGTGCACAGAGTAATTATTTGACTTATACTGTGGAATGCTTACCACGATAAGTTTATTTGCCATCCGTCATCCCATATAGGTACAGAAAAGGGAAAAAGAAATTTTCTTTCCTTGTGTAAAGCTGTTTTAATAAGGTGTTCTCCAGAAAGTAGGTTTTGATTTAACATCTTGATAAACAAAAGCCAGTTCCAGAGTTGAGCCAGATTTCTTCTAAACTCGAATCTTATGAGTTTGAGGAGCAATTGGCCCAGCATCATATGGACATTTTATAAGGCTCATAAAGTCACCTCGCCCCTGAGCCTTTGGCAGCCAGGCATCTGAGTGCATGTGACATTATAATGTTTTCACAGCAGAACCCTGCACGCTTTGAGCGATGTTTCCATTTGCTAGAGTTCTCAGCAATGAACCTTGCACCCAGTGGCAACTAATTTCACTGATCAGTAGCTTTGGCCACGCTTCAACCCTCATAAATTTAATAATTCACTTGGCAGGTGCAGAGCAGACAAATCTTTAAAAAAAAGTGCAGGTTCTTGGGAAAGCCAGCAGAAAGACTCACTGATTTTTTATTTGCTTTTAGATCCCAACATTTAATTTGGATACGGGGATGATTCAGTAGTTTTGGGATGTTCAGGCACCAGAGATTTTTTTTCAATTCTTTTAATTTTTATTCTTCTTTCTTCTGTAAAATGACTTCAATCTGTGGAATCCATTTAAAAGCCAAGTATATCAACAAGTTGTTAAATGTGGCCAGTCATTGACTGTAGTGTTGGGCTAGTGAAGCGTAGAAACAGAGTTATCCACTTTATGTTGGCTTTGGACGTGGCTGTGGGCACATCCAACTGTGCTCATAGAGAGATTTGGTTTATATTGTATGTGTGTGAGTGTGTGTGTGTGCGTGTACGACTGTCTGGATCCAGATCTCAGTTCTGCTACTTACTAGCTGATTCATCTTGGTCCTGATATTAACCCTCTTTGTGCCTCATCTTAATTTGCAGAAATTGATAATTCCTCTCATTGTTTGTGAGGACTGAATAAGTTAATACATGTAACATAGTTTTAAAAAAGTGTCAGGCATAGCGGTGCCTGGGTGACTCAGTGTGTTGAGCATCTGACTCTTGATTTGGGCTCAGGTCGTGAACTCAGGGTCTTGAGGTGGAGCCCCTCATTGGGCTCCATGCTTGACTCAGAGTCTGCTTGAGATTCTCTCTCTCTCCTTCTCCCTCTCCCCCCACTTGCTCTATCTCTCTCTGTAAAATAAATAAAGCCTGCAGTTGCTGGTGGTTAGTTCCCTGACTGATTACGTGTAGCCCTACCCTTGAGTATGAGCTTATTTTGAGTTCTCAGAGGGTAGGGGCTGCGTCTCCTCCATTTCCAGTACCCAAAGCTGAAGGCACTTCCTGGCACATCGGAGGCACGGAGGAAGAATTTACTGAAGGAAGGACTAGATGCTGGCACTGTTTGCCCCTGAGGGGGATTTTGGATATCAGTTGCTTGGATGTGGGTCTAGGAGGGCAACTGCAAATTCCCTGATGCCAGAGGATTGTAGCATGTAACATGGGAAATTCCGGCCTGTGCACCCCTTTAGCACATCTCAGGGACTAAAGGCATAGATGCGTCACTGTCAAGGCACACTGGTGATTTAATGCTTGTATAAAGGAGAGCATCTTTTTTGAGCCTCGGGCTTCTGACACGTCAAGGAACAATCCTCAGAAGCGGATGTCTGAGCAGAAGGCACTAAATACTCACGCTAATTTGGCTTTGTAGTGTCTCAGAGTCATTTTGCCTCTCACCACTTAAAGAATGATCTCACTTGGCAAACTGAGTCAGAGCAGCTTCTGGGGTCTTTTAGCATAATCTCTTAATTGTTTTTTAGAAGGAAGCTTGGGTATTCAGGCGTTGGTGGAAAGACAGGCAGATGGCTGGAGTTGGAAGGAGTTTACATGAGTTTCAGAAATAAATTACAGGTTAAAATGATGGAACAGAAGCTGTGTTCAGCTGTTGGCCCCTAGCTCTTCTCTCTGATTGCTCTCAGCTTCAGCAAAGCCCTTTGTACCCAGGGAAGCAAACCCCTTGGTTCGCACGCAGTCTGTACCTTTATGAGAACTCTTCCTCAGACAACTACCTATAAAATTCGATCATGTTAAAGTGTGATTGACTAGTAGTTGTAAGGGCAAATACAAATTATTAGAGGCTTAATTCTCCCTGTTGAAAATAAGGGAAGAAACTCCATGCCCACCCCCTTTTCTTAGAGCATTTACTTTAGAAACCTTGTAAGTTCTTTCTCTGTCCACTAAAGATACATGCAAATCTTTTTAAAAGCTAAACCTCTTGCCAGGAATGTCTCTCTTAAGGACCTGAGAACCATCTTTCCAATGTAACCAATTAGGGAAGATAGCACCCCTATCTCCCAGTTTCTATGGGACAGTAGGGACCTGACTTCGGTAAGTGCCTCACTCCAAATTGCAACAGTACCTCCTTTCATAAAGGTAGGAATTTACTTTTCCTTTGGACAAAGCCAACTAGCAAACAGATGGTCACAACAGTTACTGGGCAAAGTTGGGATTAATTGTGTGTGATAAACATCGGTGTAAGTGCTCTCCAGGACTAGTTAGTTACTGGTTATCTTGAACACATGTATGTAATGGAATGCATCTGCCTGGCTAGGTAGAAGGGTGAGATTTCTTGCTGCCTCTGTAATCTCTTTGCAGACTATCCTGTAATGAGCATCACATTCTGGTTTAATGATTATTCAATAATAAAATTGTTTTCCTTCTCTTTTACCTTGTGGAGAGGTTTTCGTTAGGAGATGTTCTTTTATATTTTATTTCCCCAACACACTATAGTCTCTGTTCACAGGCATTTGTATTTTAACTGGGGCTAAACTTTACAGATTAAAAAATGCTTGCTATGGAATTTCAAGCACCAGTGAACTGAGATGGGGAGTTGATCAGGAAGAATGGGAGAAGACACAGGGCGGGAGGAATAGCTGAAGTTCTAGCCAACCACCAGTCCCTTGGGGGTGGTGAGTGCTTTCTTGCAGGGAAACAACCTGGGGCCTTTGACTTGTGTCTGAGGACATCCACACCTCTACCCTGCACCCCTAGGGCTAATTTCCAGGAGCACCCAGAGGGATTCTTTTCATATGCGAGTCCCTAACTGCATTCTTCTATCCTACGCCCCGCAGATTTCCCACCCTTCCTAATCCTGGATTTTGGGACGCCGGTGACTTGAGAAGGGAGCATGCCTCTGTCCTGGGAGCCCCTGGGCAGCTGGACAGAGCACACATCTCCGCAGAGGGCTCGGGAGGCCGTCGCTCCAGCGCTCAGCCCCTAGATGGCGCTGTGGGCCCGCGCAAATCGCCCCTGGCCGTTCGGCCGGGGGACTCCAACCTGCGGGCGGCCAGCTTCCCGGCCCTCTTTCTTCCTCTCCTCGCTCCCTCTTTCTTAAGGGGACACACTGTCGCTTAAATGAAATAAAAAAAAGGTGCTGGATTCGCCCAGAGAAACTGAACTGCGCGCTGTTTGAGAATGTACAACACCCGAGGTTCACGCACGGGGGTGGGCATGGGCAGGGGTGCGCCGGCGGGGCAGGGGCCACGGGGGTGGATGTGGGCAGGGGTGCGCCCCGGCGGGGAGGCACGGGGGTGGGGGTGGGCAGGGGTGCGCCTCGGCGGGGAGGCACGGGGGTGGGCGCGGGCAGGGGTGCGCCGGGCGGGCCGGGGAGTACGGGGCTGGGCCCGGGCAGGGGTGCGCCTCGGCGGGGAGGCACGGGGGTGGGGGTGGGCAGGGGCGCCCCGGCGGGGAGGCACGGGGGTGGGCGCGGGCAGGGGTGCGGGGGGCGGGGGGGGGGGCGCCGGGGGGGGGGGGCGGGGGGGGGGGGGGGGGCGGGGGCGCCGGGCGGGGCGCAGGGCACGGGAACCCTCGCTGTGGCGGTCGGGCCGTTTTAGAGGCTGTGTGCGCAGCGGAGGGGCGCCTCACGCAGAGTTCGCAGTTGGAAAGAAGAGTTCGGGAAGTTTCATCCAAATGCGTCACTGGCACACAGTGCCTTCTTTCTTCTTCTGAGGCTGCGTGCAGGAGGGGCCGGAGGACAGCTGGTGTGGGGTGGCGGTGACCGCGACGGGTTCAGGGGCCGGCGGGGACCCTGAGGCTGACGGGGAGCTGACCATGCACACTCAGGGAGCCAGAGCGGTGGGGAGAGCCGCTCAGGTTTCGGGGTCACGGAGAACAGGGCGGCCCGCAGGACCCCGAGAGCATGCTCGCCGGAGCCGGCCCGGTGCCCGACGGCGCCCCGCTCCCCAAGGCGCCCCGACCCCTGGGCGCCGCGTCGCATGCCCGCTGCCCCGACGGCGTCCCGCGCCGGATGCCCCGCCCCCTCTCCGGCCCGCCCCCGACGGCGCCCCGCCCTCCCGCCGCGCCGGCCCCACGGCCGCACGGGAAACCCGCGAGTTCCCCAGCTGCGGGTGGCGCGGCCCCCTTAGGGGAGGCGCGGGGCGGCGTCAGGTGGGGCAGGCTGGGTAGCCGTGATCTGTGCAAGGTCGGGCCGGGCCGCAGCTGTAGGTTGTGTCCTCGGGAATGGCGAGGGGAACAGAGACCCCAGGGCCGCCAGCTGCGCTTCAGCCGTGGGTTCTTGCGGAGGCTGGAGGGCTCCCTGGTGTCCTCTGGGTCATGCGGGCTGCGTGATTTGCGGGACCCCGAGGAAAATGAAATTGTGAGTCTCCGTTCACGATTGAATACTTTCAAGACTGTGGCCGCAGAGCAGTCCCTCAGGCGGGTCCTCCTAAGTGCGGGGCCTGCGCGAGGCCCAGGCCGCGTTGTGCAGGCGGGCCTGCCTCCGGGCGCCCCTCTCCCCTTACCCCATCCCGTACCCCATCCCTCTCCGCATCCCCGGGCCTTTGAGCCTCGTGTCTCCCAGCGCCCTCGACCTCGGGGGACGCTGACTGTCGTTGTGTCCTGCACTGGCAGGGGAGGAGCTCCCCAAGGACCGCGCCGGAGCTGCCAACATGGTACAGAAAATAGGCTCCAAACCCCTCTTCCTATTCATGTTAATTTAATGTCGCCTTGATTTCTTTCAAAGCCAATTCCACAAAATCCAGTGTTTCTGAAGCCCGGGAACAGAGATCCTTTGTGAGGTTCCGGAACCGGCTTGTGAGTAGAGACCTCCGTTTGGAAGGGCCCAGGAGAGGCCACAGTTGATCTCAGACAACAGGAGAGAGCCTTTGAGTCTGCCTGAAAGGATCCCACTTTTGATGACAATGTGCAGGTATTTGGCTTTTTTAATGCAAGGAAAAGATGTTAAACTTCAAAAATAGTTTTGTTTTCCAGATCTAAAGTTTTCCGAATGATTTTCCTTCTCCCTTTTGAATAATACTCACTTCACTCTGTCATAAGTCTCATCACCTGATTTACTATTCTTTGATTCCAAATGAATGAGCCTAAGTTTCATCGGTATAATCCCTTTTTAGCCATCACACCACCCTCAGGTAAGATTTCAGTTAGCATTCAGAGCATCCCCGTGAGAAGACCCTGGAGTGGAGGCCTGGAAACCAGGCAAGCCAGGGACACACAGCTAGGAAGAAGTGGGACTTGAGGTTGGACCCTCAGATCCATGCAGACCCTCCGTTTCTGCACCTGTACCTGCTGTACTGTATACCCTGGTGCCTTTTCACCAGGCAGTTTCTTGGTCTAGGGTCTAAAAGTTCAGGGGTTAATGCCTAAGTAGAGCCTCTACTTTTTGTAGCCAGAGATAGTTTCATACTAGATTAAAATAAAACTCAGCATTACTTTCCCGTTGAGAACATTCAGTTCGTGGCCAGGGAATACGATAGTGGTGGCCTCATTGTCAGGACAGTTTCCTAGAAAGGAGTGTACCTTGAACTACACCAAAATCATGCCCAACTGTGCCTTCCCCCGAAAGTTCCCCCCCAACTTTCATTAAACACACACACACACACACACACACATTTTTTTCTATACAAATGCAGACAGAATTGTCTCAGCAGTTCCTCACCGACCTTCTAATCATCTCATGGTATTTCAGATCTCTAGTTCCAAAAAAGAAGATGGTCTCTAAAGTATGTAGCATAGGAGACCTTCAGTGTATTCATCCTTATTTCACACATCCACAAATATTTGTTAGCCTTATATTACGTCCCTTAGGTAATGGAGATATAGTAGTACACACAGGCAACAATCCTGCTCTCCTGCGGTGTATGTTTTAGTGAGGAACACAGAAAATAAACAGTTAATAAATGTATACATCTGAAAGATGCGATAAGGGCAATGAAGGAACAAAAGTGACAGTCAGGACATGAAAGGATACGGGAGGTGGGTGTCATTTTAGTGAGGTGTTTCCACCGAGCTAATAATTACATAGAGACTCAAATGAATTGGGAGAATAATAAATATTAGTTATCATCTCTTCTTTTCTTTTTACTTGACAGGAGCATCTGGAGTAAATCCTTATCACTCTTGATGGTGACCTTTATTTCCAGCCATTTAAGTTCAATGCCATGTTTCCTCTATCATCGAATCTCTGTAATCTTTGTTTTATACATCTGCATATACCTCCTGAGCCTACCTCCCAGGGTGTTTGAGATCAAATGAGAAGATGTATTGCAAGATGGTTTTCAAATCTTGAGAGGATGGTAGATTCCTAAGGGATAACTGTCTTTTTTTTAATAATTTTTTATTGTTATGTTAATCACCATACATTACATCATTAGTTTTTGATGTACTGCTCCATGATTCATTGTTTGTGCATAACACCCAGTGCTCCACGCAGAACGTGCCCTCTTTAATACCCATCACCAGGCTAACCCATCCCCCCAGCCTCCTCCCCTCTAGAACCCTCAGTGTGTTTTTCAGAGTCCATCATCTCTCATGGTTCGTCTCCCCCTCCGACTTACTCCCCTTCATTCTTCCCCTCCTGCTATCTTCTTCTTTTTCTTTTTTTTCTTAACATATATTGTATTATTTGTTTCAGAGGTACAGATCTGTGACTCAACAGTCTTGCACAATTCACAGCGCTCACCATAGCACATACCCTCCCCAATGTCTATCAGCCAGCCACCCCATCCCTCCCACCCCCCACCACTCCAGCAACCCTCAGTTTGTTTCCTGAGATTAAGAATTCCTCATATCAGTGAGGTCATAGGATACATGTCTTTCTCTGATTGACTTATTTCACTCAGCATAACAACCTCCAGTTCCATCCACATTGTTGCAAATGGCAAGATCTCATTCCTTTTGATGGCTGCATAATATTCCATTGTGTATATACACCCCATCTTCTTTATCCATTCATCTGCTGATGGACATCTTGGCTCTTTCCACAGTTTGGCTATTGTGGACATTGCTGCTATAAACATTGGGGTGCACGTACCCCTTCGGATCCCTACATTTGTATCTTGGGGTAAATACCCAGTAGTGCAGTTGCTGGATCGTATGGTAGCTCTATTTTCAACTTTTTTTTTTTTTTAACTCTTTAAAAATTTATTTAGTAAATCAAATATATACAAAGTAAAGGTATACAAGGGCCAGAGAATAATTTCCAAAAATTACTCAAGGAACAATTCATAATTGAAATAAAACTTTTTCAAGCGATGGTAAAAGAATAGATATTTATAACTTCTGTCATATATCAAGCAAATACTACCAAGTCAGCACAACTTTTTGTTTTAAATTTTTTATTATGTTAATCACCATACATCATTAGTTCTTGATGTAGTGTTCCATGATTCATTGTTTGTGCATAACACCCAGTGCTCCACGCAGAACGTGCCCTCCTTAATACCCATCACCAGGCTAACCCATCCCCCCACCCTCCTCCCCTCTAGAACCCTCAGTTTGTTTTTCAGAGTCCATCGTCTGTGATGGTTCGTCTCCCCCTCCGACTTACACCCCTTCATTCTTCCCCTCCTGCTATCTTCTTCTTTTTCTTTTTTCTTAACATATCTTGCATTATTTGTTTCAGAAGTACGGATCTGTGACTCAACAGTCTTGCACAATTCACAGTGCTCACCATAGCACATACCCTCCCCAATGTCTATC